TGGAATTAGTACCTGAGATGCGTAGAGCATTTCCTTCTCTTTGGAGATCATTTGGGGGATAAGCACAGATTGACCTTGATAGGTACCAACCTTGCTTTCCATTATTGTTCTTGTGTTCTTTCCTTTCTTTTTTGAAGTTTTCTTCAGTTGGAATGATGTTGTAGAAGACATTGTTGAAAATTGTTGGAAGTTTTAGGGTTTCGGTGAGAAGAGGGGAAGAAAAGATTCAGAATGTGGAAAGAAAAATAAAAGACTAAGTTGATGGGTTTTTATAGTGTGGAAGTTTAAACATCCACTGAGTAAGACTAGGATATGTGGGAGTCGTGGGTTGGATTGAGAAGGAGGTGGCGTAAAAGTTGATATTGGTAATAGGCGTGATTAATAATAATCATTGTTTTATAACTGCACCATGCTGTGAAATACTGGTTCAAGACGGTTAAGGAATCTGAAAGGCGTCATGATTGACGTGACTGGAGTCATACACAATAAATGTTACGATTACTCAAAGGTCACATCAAAATCTTGCATATATATTTAAAATAAGTGTTTCTCAAAGGATCAAAATACATATTTTAAAGGGGCATTTTGTTGGCTGAAGATTTTGATGATACAGTTCGAAACAAAGCAAGTTGGGTGTTTCGTTGGAATAAAGCAAGATGTCATGGTTCGGAATGGTAGAAGTAGTTCTTCGAATGAACATGTCAAAGCTCGGGGCTTCGAGTGACAGTTATGGGGATATATTCAAAAGAAGTCTCGAAGTGGTAACAAGGCTGTGTCCAAGAAATGAGTTCGAAGCGAAGAGTGCCAAAACATTTGAAATTCAAACGCAAGCGGGATGTTCGAAATTTAAAATATATGTGCTGGAGCATTCGAAGACGCGTGGAAGCTAGAGAGGGGCAGTGCTTTGCATGTTCTGAACGTGGCAGAATCTTATAGGCAAGACCGTTATGGTCGAAGTAGTATAAATAGAAGTCTTAGCGTTAGGATTTCGTGTGTCATATCTATTGTACAAAATTCAGTAAACATTCAAAATACCACATGGCTAGGGAAACGAATGCTCGAACAATGTACGTATGATAACACCAAATATTTATGATTCAGCAAAAAACTCTTTATCATTTCCAATTTATCTTCTATCTTCATGTCAATATCATTCAAAAGCCTTTACATTAAAGTATTTTCATTCAAAGTCTTTTACTGATTTCTTGCATTTAAATGCTTTCTTTCTATTTCAAATCCTTTACATTTCAGAAACTTTTGTATATTTCATGCTTTTATCTTCATGCTTTTATCTTTCGAATACCTTTTCATCCAAAGTCATTTTACTGATTTCTTGCATTTAAACGCTTTCTTTCTATTTCGAATCTTTTACATTCCAGAAACTCTTTTACATTACATGTTTTTATACTTCGAAGTTATTTACTTGTTTCTTGCAGTTTTACATGTCTTTACAATTGAACCTTTATTCATGCAATTTAGTTTTGCACGTATTTACTTGATCATGTCATTAGATCTCTAATATGGTAATCGAAGGAAGTTGAACACCTACACAACATTCTAAATACCAACCATGAATATCAGTTCTACAATGAGAATTATCCAAACGACCAATACACCATAGGATCAATCTAGTCGATCCTGCAAGTTACCAGAGAGATTAAATAACAGTCATTAAGATTATTTGATAGTTTAGAGGACTAGCGGTTGTTTACCAGAAATCACTGTAAACACCAGGCTGTCGAGAATCCTGGGGGAATGTACGGTTGAGATCCTGGATTTGCCCTTGGTGGGGGGCGTTCCTAAAGGACCTCTAGGACCCACATACAAAAGTAAGGGTCCTGTTTGATTCGTGGTTAACGTTGGTACTGAACCAATAGAAGTTGAGATATTTTCGCCAACGGTAGTTATAACCGTTGTTCCAGTAGTATTTGGTAGAGGTATTTCTCCATGATTTGGCTCATTAGCCATTTTACTCTCGTTATTTCTCTTTATAACAATACATTTGCTGGTTATTCTACCACTTCTTAATAACATGCAACACTGTATACTTATAAAAGGAAAGCAATAACATGAACAAATAGATGATAAAAACTAGCAACGTCCCATCAGGTGTGCCAATTTATTTACCGTGGTTTTTGGTAAACAACCACTGATTCTCCAAAAAGGAAAGTCCTTTTGGTTACTCGCGGGATCGATCAGATTGATCCCAGAACATATGCTAATTTTTATGTTGGTTTGATGTAAAAGTTGATATCTAGGAAGAACGCACATTTGACCAAGGATATTATGTTTATGGTTTTGGAAAGTAAGAAAGTAACTAGAAGTGCAAGTAAAGATGTAGAAATGTAAACTTTGCAAAAGAAGTTCAAAACAATGTAAAAAGACTTTATTAATAAATAATGGTGTTTCCAACGTACATTCTCAGTTATTATTTCACACACGGCGGGTACTTGAATAATATTGAGTAACTAGCACAATAGGTTGAACACACAGAAACTCTACACAAACTTCCTAGTTTTATACTAAAATTATGTAACTGTCGAGGGTGGCTTTGCTTTTAGGATGAAAACAAGTGTCTTCTGCATGTCCCTCGACCTCTATCTTCCTGCCACGTCGCTTTCCCTTAACTGCTGGCGAACTGCATCTCCCTCCAATCTTCAAATTCAAATATCCTTCGCCTTTGGTGCTGACACGAAGGTCTGTTCTTCTAGTCGAAGGCCACAGGACCTTTCCCGTCGAAGGCTTGATGGTGATGTCTGGTCGAAGACCAATTTGTAATTCAGATATTTTCTCTAAGTTTTTTCCATCCGTCGAAGCATTTTCCAACTTGGCTTTATCTGCTCTATTATTGGTCCATGGGGCTAATATATAGTAGGTGTCGAATTCAAGAGCCAACAAGAAGCCACCCTTTTTGCTTTGCATCTTCGAGAGACAAACATACTGCCACCATCTCTAAGAGAAAAGGACAAAACAAACAAATAAAGGCATGTTTATCGTCAGCATATGAAAATGGAGCACAAACGGAGCTGAATCAGAATGTGCAATTCTTGACAATACACCAGTGACAATTTCACCAAGAACCAAACGACCAAATTCATGAAGTCTTTCTCTTTATTTTCTATTTTAGTGCCAGCTACTACTTCTTGTCTTAACAACTCCCCAATTGATATGTGCACCAATCTATATTGCATAAAGAGACTCAACATATCCGATCAGGCCTGGACATTTGTTACAATAAATGTACATTACAAGCTGTCATGCCACTTTTATCAATAACAATAACAAATAATAGGACAGTAAAAATATTGACTCCTTTTGTCTCATAGTTTATCTATAAATTTTCTCAAACAGTCTCACAAATATTTATATTATTAAGAGAGCGTTTCCTAGAAGTTTTCCTAGATTGGTTTTAAGAGAGCTTTTCACACATTCATCAAATAAATCAGTTTGAGCCACAATAAGCCAGAAACGTCAAAAGCCACTATTTACGTGTTAAAAGCTATTCTTACTAATAAAAAATATGGAAGAGCCTTTCAACTAAAAGGATACATCTGCTGCTTTCTTCTGAATCAAAGGTTAACAATTAATATGTTAGTTTTGATTTAAAAAGACTATAAATCTCAGGGCCAATATGCATAAACAAATGAAGGTTTGTTTAATTTTGAAGGTGAAAGGTGGATGTGCGTTAAAAACAAAAGAAAAATAGAACCCTCAACCGGAAACACCATACTCAACGCCATTTATTGACGAAGAAAAAAAAATCCTAGATTCAAATCTGAAATAAATCCTGTAAAGAGAAAAAGAAAGTGAATATAGTGTTTGGAGTGAGCAAAAACAATACCCATATGTACGAAAAGAACCAATACACTAACATGACCATGAGGAGTGCGAATATGCCTTTGATATTTTCATTAGAGGTGGTGGTGGCCGTAAATAGTAGGAGAAAGGGCCGCAACAGTTGTTTTAGGGTTCAGGGAAAAAGAGATAAAAGAGAAGACGTGAGAGAGAAAAATGAACAAGTAGAATGGTTGGAAGAGTGTAAGATTCTAATTCAGAAAAAATATTTTTTAATTTGGACTAATGATAGGATGACAAGTTAAAAAAGTATTAAAGTGAATAGTTAATTTGTTATTCACTCCGTCTCATAATAAGTGTTTTATTTACATTTTTTTTATGTCTTAAATTAAATATCTATTTTATAATACCAATACAATATTTATTATTTTTTTCGCTATTATATCTCTATTTATTAACTTTTACGTTATTCAACTACTCTACTAATTATAATAAATAAAAATATTTTAGTAAATGATATTACTTTTATCATTAAAGTCGACACATCTAATTATTTTCTTAAGAACCTTACGAAAATCAAATGAAACACTTATGAAACGGAAGGAGAAGTTACCATTATGTCCAAACTGAAATGTAAATTTATTTTAGGGAAAGGGCAAAATTGGAAGATTGATCAATTGATTAACAAATGGTAAAAATAGTAGATACTAGTAGATAGGATAATGAAGGGTATACTAGTATAGGACAAAAACATTCCAGTAGTAAAATCTAATTTCAATAGTAATAATTACTTTAAACGATACTGATACATACAGCATCCGAGTATGCGGTTCTGATTGTTCAGAAAAACTCCGTTCACAATTCGTAGAATTTAACCGTTGAATGGGTGAGAAGAGCTTCACTCAAAACTCGTGTGTTTGTGTTTATTAACACATGTGTTTACGCTCGATCCTTCTCTTCTCTTTTATTTCTTGTTTTTTTCTTCATTCATTCTTCATCTCTGCGAATTGGGATTAGGGTTTATCCCAATCCTCATTCCACAATTTTAAATCAAATCTTGTTTTTCCAATTGTTATTCACTTTCTCCGCACTGTAAATCGAATCGGCATGATAATCGATAAGCCGAATGTTGTAAATCTAGTTTGAAACTGCATTAGGGTTAGGATTAAGGGTTTTAGATTCACAGTGTTTTTGATTTTGATGAAATGGAAGGAACTCGTAGATTGTTGGATAGATCCAGAGAACCAGGTCCCAAGAAACCCCGATTGATGGAAGGTTCAAACCCTACTTCACGGCCGTTTCCTCAACGACAACCTGCCTCGGGGGTTGGTTCGATGGCTAGGTTTCGAATAAATGACAGAGACGTTGAAAGTAGTGAAATCGATCATGGTGACGGTGGTTATCATCCGCAGCCACCGCCGCATCAAGAGCTTGTGACTCAGTATAGAGCTGCTTTGGCTGAGCTTACTTTCAATTCGAAGCCGATAATTACCAACTTGACTATAATTGCTGGAGAGAATCTTTCGGCGGCCAAATCAATTGCTGGAGCTGTTTGTGCTAATATTCTTGAGGTGAATTACATTGAGCGATTGTTTCTGTTGTGTGTTTGTATGTTTTATTTTTGGGTTTTTGGTTTATGATTTATGGCTGATTATATTGAATTGAATTGAATTGTAATTGATTTTGTATGAGAAATGATTTTATCTTGATCTGTTGCTTGTGCTTGGATAATCAGCTGAGTGTGACACTGAAAAAATACGTGTTGATGTCCGTGTTGGTATCCGAGACCTGCACCGATATTTGTGATTACATTTAATTTATTCATTTTTTCAAATTATTACTAGTGTTGTTGTGTCAGTGTCGGGGTCGTATTCAGGGTGTCAGTGCTTCATAGGTGACACCACATGTATTTATCTCTTTTTCTCTCATTTTTTTTATCTTCTATAGCACACATTTATAAAATATAGACAACAAACACTGTACATTGGACTTGAAATCAATATTTTTTTTATGTACAAACATCATTTCTCCATTAAAATCAGGTTAGTGTTGTACCCGTGCAGAGGTTTTATGGTATAATGGCGAATGGTAGTTAGAAAATTGGGCGTTTGTGATACGTCATCCATTTTATCCTCATTGGTACTGTCCAGGTTTTTATGCGGTAGAAGTTTCTCAAGTTGTACCATCATGCTCCTGAGAAAAAAGGAAAAACATTTTTTGTTTTTTCAGACCTTGTTGCATAAAGGAAAAAAAAACCTTTCACTTAATGATGAGTTGATTGTAGGTAAGTCAATGTCAAGTATGATACTGTTGTGATTCTGTTGGAAGATACCAGGTTTGGGAGCTTTCCCAGGACAAGTAGCATCATTGGAATATGGTGCTTTATGAATCTCCTGGTCTTATGACGACTATGTATGCAAAAGGGATTAAGAATCTTTGGAAACGTGTGTGTGTGTGTTGGTCTTTTGATGACTTTGTATGCAAAAGGGATTAAGAATCTTTGGAAACATGTGTGTGTTTGTATGACATGAGGAAAGAAATGTCACATTCCTCTCTCAAATATGGTTGAAGTCAACTTTGGTGAAATTTGATGCTAACTTCAAATTTAAGGATATAATATTGGCTTAAGTTGTTTTCCGCGATCCTTGTTTACATTTGTTGGGGCAATATTACTTCTAGCCCAGTGCATGTCTCTGCATTTGATATAATAAAATGTGTGTTTAATTGAATGTGTTAATAACTTTTCAGGTTTCAAGTGATCAAAAGCTGCCATCGCTTTATCTCTTAGACAGTATTGTTAAGAATATTGGGCGGGATTACATAAAATACTTTGCTGTCAGACTACCTGAGGTCAGATATCTATTACCTTTCGATCATTGGCCTTCATCCTTTTATTTTTATATAGTAATATTCTTATGAACATCTATGATGAAACCTTCTAATTGTGATATGAAATCATGAAAATTTAAACTAATCTATTTTGATTTGATTTTGTTACATGTATAATGATATTACAATAATTCAGGCATTGCCATTAAAAATGAATTATCTAACTATTAACAAAATGAAGTTTTTCACTTTGCAATTCTCCTGTGAGTATTTTCTAATTTTATACACCTATTTTTAACTAGGTACTTGCCAATTACTCCTTTACATTTTAGGTATTCTGCAATACGTACAAACATGTTGATCCTCCTGTGCATTCAAGTATGAGGCATCTTTTTGGAACTTGGAGAGGAGTCTTTCCTCCTCAGACCCTTCAAATAATTGAGAAGGAACTTGGCTTTGCTCCCACAGTCAATGGTTCAGCTTCTGCATCTGCTACAATCAGAAATGATTCTCAGTCTCAACGTCCACCTCATAGCATTCATGTAAATCCCAAATATTTAGAAAGGCAACGTCTTCAGCAGTCTAACAAGGTATCTGAAATGATTTCAAATAAACCAATCCTTTAAATGATAGAAATGTTGAAATCTGATTGGAGTAGGTCAAGGTTAGATAGTAATGCAGAATATTTATTTGATGAATTAGGGCTTGATACAGTGCCACCTTCAGAAAACACCTTTTGATTCACAATAGTTTTTATGAGTCAATCTATTTTATACCCTACATGCCTTTAGATTTTGTCAAGTTATAGCTCTATATATCTTAACAATCATGCCTTTTTCTGTCTCATGTAGACTAAAGGAGTATTTGATGATATGTCTGAAGTTATTCCAAACGCAAATGAGGACTCAGAGAGGTCAAATAGAGCTTTGGGTGTTGCACGGCCGTGGCTGGATTCTAGGGTTAACATGCATGTATGTGAAGTGATTTTTTTACCTCTTTATACTATTCAATTTGTCAATTTCCATATTTTAATTTAATGGTGTATATTGCAGAATAACCAGCATACTCGTAGAGATGCATTTAACGATTCTGTTCCTGACAAGAGCATTAGCGGAGCCTATGGAGATGAGGAATATAATTCTAGTGGTTCAGATGTTGGAAGAACTGGAAGTAGGCTCATTGGCGGTGTTGCAGAGACCTTATCCGGGCAAAGAAATGGTTTCAGCCTCAAACATGGTTTTTCTAATCACGAAGCACCGAAGCCTATGAATTTGGATGCACATAATATAAGGAACAGTGCCATGTCAAGGAACTGGAAAAATTCCGAGGAAGAGGAGTTCGTGTGGGATGAGATGAACCCTGGTTTGCCCGAACATGTACCTAATGTCTCTAGCAACTTGAGCTTAGACCCATGGATTGCTGATGACGACAATTTGGTAAGCTTGCTATGATAAAGGGTCAATTGCACTTTGTTACCCAATTTATAAAATGAGGTGCTTTCCTGTTTGAACTACCTTGTCCTTGATAGAAATTTTACACTTGCAAATTTGACAAACATGTGTATTGCTAATAATTTTGTGGCTATAATTAAGAAGATCAATTCTCGCTGTCCAATTTTGATGATAATGCTCCACAGGAAATTAACTTGTTGCCTTTGGCACAATTGGATCACCATTTAGAGTCTATTTCTTGTCTTGAAAAGTCTTTTGGTATGTAAGTTCCATCTATTATCCCCTATTTTAAAGATGGGGGATATTGTGTTTATCCCCTAGGGTCATTGCAGAGGAGTATACTAAAGGAGAGAGCAACATGACAAAAATGCTTGCCGGGAAAACTAATGCCTAATGAAATAGGGTGGCAAAGTATAGTTGGCAGGCACTAACAAAACTTTTGTATCAGATTGAAGTAGAACAAACTGGGGCCATCTAGCGATTTATAGTAACAAAAGAAATTGGCAATCATATCTATACAGGACTCTTTCCCCAGGATAAATATGCCTAATTCCCTTAACTTGAAAATACTAATTTCGAAATATCCTAATAAAAAACTAAGACATAGTTCCCTCATTCATCTTGGTATAGTTTTGTGGACTTAAAAATAATAATTTAAATTTTTAAATATCCTAATAAAACCAAGACACAATTCCCTGATTCATCTTGGTGTAAGACATCCTAGGACAACTATTAGCACAAATTTATGAAATTACTAACTACTCCTCCCCCCGTTCCTTTTTAATTGTCACATTTTGACTTTTTACACGTACCAAGAAAGCTTATAATTATTGTTACTTTTCATGCTATGATTATTCTTTTGTCTATAATACTCCTAACTTTTAATTATTTCAATATACTTTTCTCTCTCTTCATAATAAATAGTTAGGGGTAATTTTGACAAAAGTATAATCATTACTACCTTGAATTTTGAAAACGACAATTAAAAAGAAACAATTTTTTTTCATAAAAGTGACACTTAAAAAAGAACGGAGGGAATAGTAATTAATAAATTTGTAATTGTAAACCATACAATGCATCTCCAATTAGAGAATTATGGTTCACAATTACAAATTTATTAATTACTATATATATATAATTTTATTTTTTTCTAATTTGTGACCAATTTTGTGTTTTGCATGCAGGAAAGTGAAGATCACCTCCAAATGACACATCCAATTGGAACTAAAGTTGATAAAGGAATATCCACCGTTAAGAAACAACTACCATCATCTGGGGGCCATTCATCATTATCATGGGGATTGCAGAAGCAGCTTCCAAGTGCCAAATTGAATATGAAGTCAGGTCACTCAGAAATATTTGTTTCAGCTCCTAGTGGCTTACCCAAGAATTCAAATTCTTTGGCTGCAAGGATGAGAAATCAGTCTTCTATGCCACATACAACTATAGGAACAGCCAAAATTATGGGACAGCGACAATTTGATCCTGAAGGCGCCGAATCCCCTTCTGAACTGTCACCTTTGTCACAACAGTCTCAATCTGTGCCAGTAACAACACATCACGCTTCTTCAGTGCGAAATTTGACTGAGCAAGATTGTCTACAAACTCTAAAAACATCTCAACATTTGGGTGGTCAGCAAAGTCAATATATTAGAGATCCCGCACCTGCAACTCGTCCCAATGTTCAGGTTGGTAACTTGCGGAAATCACAAGCAAAGGACCCGCGGGGTCCATCATCTTCCGCAACTTCTCTCCAGGCAAAACCTCAACAACGACAGCTGGGCCCTTCACAGGCTGAAGTTACTCTTAAAGCTAAGCAGCCACTCAAGTCTAAAGTTTCTTTAGCCAAAGCCAAAGCCAAAGAAACTTCAGAAAAGTCAACCACAAAAAGTCTTCCAGCTACATCTGTGAAGAGTGGAGTCATCCCCAACAAATCAGTAACCAAAAGTCTGGATGCAAGTAACCGTCCATCTCTCTCGGGGGTTAAGCCTACTCGGTCAACTGGTCCTTCCCCTACCACATTAATTTCTTCGGGGCCTTCCTCTGTGTCAATAGGTTCTCCAAATGATCATTCACAGACTTTGCCAAAACTACCTCAAGGGAAGGTTGTAAAGAAGCAAAAAAAATCTACTCAACCATCCACTTCCTCTAATGATCGTGGTGCATCAGCTCCAAGCTCAAATACCGTCAATAAGAATACCTTGAATCCAATTTCAAATCTTTTAAGTTCATTAGTTGCTAAAGGTTTGATATCCGCAGGAACGGAGTCAGCAACTGTAGTGCCAAATGAGACCGTGATTCGATCGAAAGAGCAAACTGAAAGCATCACTACCAGTTCCTCATTGCCAATTGTTTCAATTCTTGATTCTGCAACTGTCCCAGTAAAATCTTCTAAAGTTGAGGTAGATGGTGATGAGGTGGATGGTGATGAGGTAGACGGTGATGAGGTAGATGATGCTGCAAAAGCCTCACTTGCCTTGTCTCAATCAACTAGCACAGAAATTATAAACCTCATTGGCTTTGATTTCAAGCCTGATGTAATTCGAGAAATGCACCCACATGTAATCACAAAATTATTGGAAGAACTCCCACATCATTGCAGTAAGTGTGGTATTAGGCTAAAACACCCAGAACAGTTTGATAGACACTTGGAATGGCATGCTACAAAAGAAAGAGAACAAAATGATTTGAATGGAGCTTCAAGAAGATGGTACGCAAAGTCGAATGACTGGATTGCTGGCAAGGCTGGATATCTGTCAGAGTCTGAATTTACTGATTCTGTAGATGATGAACATGATGATGAAAACACATATGAGAGTCAATTGGATTCTATGGTTTTAGCAGATGAAAACCAGTGCTTGTGTGTATTGTGTGGTGAGCTATTTGAAGATGTATACTGTCAGGAAAGGGAGCAATGGATGTTCAAGGGGGCTGTTTACCTGAACAATTCCGATAACGTTAGTGAGATGGAAAGTAGAAATGTGGGCCCCATCATTCATGCTAGATGCTTATCAGAGAACAAAATATCTGTTGTGACCAATACAGTAAGGCTCATAGTGAATTGAATGGAAGTCCTTCAGTTGATTTTTGAAGCTTAAAAGAGTGTTGATATTTTTGATAAAGTCATTGATTCAACCTATTATTTATGCAGGAGCTTGATTAATAGGTTTCCCCTATACCATTGAAGCCGAGGTAATGTCAGGAGCTTACCAAGGGTACCCAGGTTCTCATTGCATACTAAAACTTGATGGCTCATTTGACATTTAAAATTAGTGTCGCTAACTGCTTCCAAAAGAAATCAAACAAATTTTGTGCCCTTCTGTTTCTTTTTCTTGTACTAGAGGGAAAAAGAGAGTAGTTAAGCTGTATTTAAAAAATATAAATGCGAGATAGTTTTTTTTTGTAGCTAAACTTGATCTTTGATATGGTTGAGATAACTTTTTTGTACCATAGGTGATGAAGCGAATTTGCACATTTAACGGATATGGGGATAATGCAGGTGTTACGCACCAAGGCTGTCTCATTCAAATAGTGGATATCGTTATCCTTGTCAATAATAACAGAGATTTTGATTCCCTACTCTTTTAGTTTTCCGTTGGTAAATTTGCACATTTTCTTTAGGAGGGAATTGAAAGTCCAATAATACTGGTGTATTGCTTTCTTGAAATTCTCAGCTGCATAAACAATTGATGCACTGGGTCATATCTTGCCAACTTTTGACTTTGATTTTTTGGTTGTTGATTTGGTTGAGAAGTGTTGTGTGTGTGCTATTCTATGCCTAATATGCTTCGAGCCTTTGTTTTGATGTGCACTGCAGACAATTACTATCAACTGTTGATGCAAGAGAACTCTCTTATGATCCTTTTGTGGAAGAGTGTTAGGTTTTCTGAAATATTAGTTATTTGTTGGTAATATAACTACTGATTATTTCAGGACAAAATATCACACATATTTATGTATAGTAAGTTTTAAGTTTTTGAATAATATGGAAGATATGGAGTGATTAGGTGGAGATATTCACGGCAGTAAACTGGACAGCCAACAACTTTGTGCCCAAAAAAGTGGACAATAAAGATGATAAAATAATAGGGCATTACTCATTGCACCCCATCTGATTCTCATGCACCATGGGGAAATTTCAAAAATAATCGAAATTCCAAAAATATTTAAGTTTTTGGATTTTAAAATTCAGACGAACTCGAAATACACAACATTCCCATGAAACAACATTCCCATGAAACACACTAAACCTAATGTTAAAAACAAATTTGGCATTTAAATTTTGGAATCTTTCCTGTTATTAGAAAACGAGAAGCAATTTTAGACACTAACAAAAACTATCATAGGAGTATATTTGAATTTGGAAATTTAGAATATACTCCATTATCCGAAGTAATTTTAAATAGGAGATGGAGAAAACACAAATTAACTTAAATATTTGTTATCACATGCATCAAATATGTTACATTATTAACATAAAATTTAAACATCTTTAAAAAATCATCAATTGATCATAAAATTTAAACATTTTAAAAATATCATCAATTAATCTATCTATTGTTGTTTTGTAAGGTGAAATATACTTCACATAATTTTTAAATTTCCACTCATCTTCAATTCAAAGTTGTTGAATTTCACTTTTCCTTTGTTATCAATCGAGAGTGAATGATATTTGATCTTAATCATCTTTTGATTGTCTGGGTAGCGCAAGAGATTATTTAGTTTGTATTTAGAACATCAAGAGAGGTGTCTTATGTGATCTTAAATTCAAGAGGAGGATTCATGTTGTTGAAATAAACAAATGTGAGATATACATATTAAGATATTTTGTGGTGTTTTTGATAGTTACATCTACTTAAGAGACATATTTATACAAGTTTGAGATAAATAAGGATATTTTACATATGAAATAATACAATAAATATGATTTGTCTGAGTTTTGAAATTCAAAATTATAAGTTACAAATGTTGATTTTGTAGGCAGAATAAATTATAAGTTACAAATGTTGATTTTGTAGGCAGATGCAAAATTATAAGTTACACACATCAAAATTTATTCTGATTATATCATTGAATATAAAAATCTAACATTACATACAAAAAATGTGCCACCACATAAAATATATGATAAGATAAAACTAAAATATTTCAAAACATGTGTCACCGCCTAAATTTATATCTATAGGTGATTTCACTTTTGACTTTCTCTGATTTTATTTTCTTTAAATTTTGCTCAGTTTGACAAACTCTTCCATTCTATCCAAACAAATATCCAGCCAACTTTTACCTTTTTTTTTTTGTTGAATGAGATGTCCACTCAGAATGTTCGTGGTATATGACATCTCGATGTTAAATAAACTTGAAGAAAATATTGTGATTTTGAAAACCATCTAATACACATTATGTGTTTGACTGAACTTTAAGTTGAGCCACTTTGAAGTAGGAAAAATGTTTTCGAGAAATCATAGCTTGTCAGATCGATACACACCCTGTTACATGCACTTGCTATAATATGATCATTTCAGGAAAACACATTTATTTTCTTCAGGTGTTAAGGAATACGATATGCATGAATTTTATCGAAATTCACATTTTTCCTGTATAACGGTGTGTATGATTTCTTATGAGCCTTTAACTTTTTGATTAGATGTTGACGAAAAAATGTATGATTCTCCTCACAATCCGATCAATATTACCCAACAAAGCTGAAGCAATCTGATAATCGCAGTTACCTATCCTTGACATCTACAATCCGATCAATATATTTGTACATAAAAACTAGAATCACTTCCATGTGTACCATTTTTGATAAATATTGTGATGACGGTAAAGGCGATGGTTTACTGACGCAAGCACATTTGAAAGAACTTCTTTTGGATTGTGAAATTGGAGAGTCCGAAAAAGTATATCGACATGTTTGAAATAAGACGAAAACCGTTTGGCTGAATTATCACTTGGTGTTGGTTTGACTTTCTTAGGAGCTCATTTGTTTTTACTCGTTTCTCAAGTGGTTTCAAATCTGTTGTTTCTTGATAAGCAATCTTCCTCATTTGCTCTTTGATGTGAAGTTTCATGTTTTCATCATCTTTACAAAATCTTTCTTGAATAATCTCACATTATGACATGATATATATATATATATATATATATATATATATATATATATATATATATATATATATATATATATATATATATATATATATATATATATATATATATATATATATATATATATATATATATATATATATATATATATATATATATATATATATATATATATATATATATATATATATATATATATATATATATAACTCACTCTCCTTCATCCGACCATCATCATCAAATCAGAGTATTTTCTAATGCAAGTAAGCCTCATATATACCTATGGGCCTATATAATTCCATCTTTTTGAATATTGCACGCAGAAGACAATACATCCACCTAAGTGTACAACAACATGATATTTCAAGAAATTTGAATATGCCACACACACCCTTCTAAATAATATGATATATTCTGTATTGTAGTAGAATTTATTATAGCTTTTCAGGCATATATTATGCTTTTCAATATCACACTAGGTTTGACCATTTTCCTGTTTTCACCCTTGATTTGTTTGGTTCATACCACATACTTAAGTTTACGTCTCAGATGTTTTGTTATATGATACCTATACACTAAAATATATGATGTATGAAACACCTTTCCAACCAAAATTATCAGTACGGTATAGCGATCAAAGACAATCATCTGTGACATATTTTCTTTGTCTTTCAACATAGTCTGACATACTTCTAAAGCCCACTAAATCTCTTCTCTTTTTCACTTTCCAAAGATACAAATCCCAATTGAAAAAGTCATATCTATAGAACTAACACCAACAATTTCGAGAAGTGGTAGCCTATACTGTTTAGTCTTATATGTTGAATCAATTATGAGACAATGTAAAAAGTGTTGAACAACTTGAGGAATCAGGACGAGTCCAAAATATATCTCAAACAATTTTTCCTTCCTCACAAACTCTGTACCTAGATACACAATGATCATCATCCAAAAGCTTTAACAATTGTTGCATTTAGGATCTTAGACCTCTTTTCATATTATTGTTTTGGTGCAGACTATAACACCCTTCTAAATCCACATATATTTCGTAATTAGTTATAATATTAATCGAACATAAATCACCAACAAGGGTGTCACACCTTTATAAAAACATCAATATAAATCATCCTACTCCGTAACACGGGTTTTTAGTACATTTTAAATATTAATTTATTTGATAACATCAACCAACAAATTTAAATTTCACAGCGGAATCATAGTCTCAAAATAACCTCATTTAGTTCAATATCAAAACCTTTTTGGTCAATCTCAAAGATCATTATTAAATAAATCCAGCATAACAAAACTCAAAAGAAACATGTTTATTAAAACAACTGAAACCTCAACTCAAGCGTTTCCCACCCGATGTTACAATATTAGAGCAAGACCACTAACATTACAGAAATGGATAAATAACTCCAAGCAATCCTCAAACTACTACGAGCTATTCTTGGTTACCTACAAGTTATCCATGTATAGAGGCAACTTTTTCAAGAAGAAAGGGTGAGTAATCATAAATTATTATAAAATATATATGGAATAGATATAGTAGCACAACAATAGTTCATCATAAATTCCACATATCATCATACTTCATATATTATACTCATACTTTCACATCATCAATACACATCAATTACATCCTTATATCATTACATTAACATTTATCATCAAACATCACTTAGATCTTAACATCATCAACATCACTTAATCAAACATTATGCAATATTACAAATAATGAAATGCAACATCATTAACTCATGCATGTGTTACCAAAACTTCACTGATGACCAAGTCATCTTCCTCCAAAGATCCCTACCATAGAATCGATTCTCGCTTGGAACCGGAGCACATCATAATATTGCACTCAATCCAAACTATGGAATTGAGACCATCACTGGACTAATGCCCTATCAACATCATTGGACCAACATCCTAACATCACTAGAAAACCTTCCTAACATATGCCATGAATGAATGATGCGCAACAACATATGAAATGTGACCACGACTAGTCAAAACACATCATCATTCATATAATTATCTTTACAC